AGTTTAGTAATAGTCAAATAATAATTCAAGTAATCACGTATACCATCAACATGAAGTCACCAACCCAATTATGGTAGGCCTCATTAAGTTATAATGGTTTGGCTTTAAAACTTTGATGAGATCACGGTTGGCAAACTATTTCGTTTTAACGCTTAGAGAAGCTTCCTAAAGTACGGTCTCACGCCCTCCCGATGTATGTGCTGACGAAATTGACGAAACCCAGCATAGATTTTCACCGTTTACTGGTTCGGAATGGATTGAGTAGAAACATTTGTGTCACAGCCTGTCAAGGTAACATGGGAAACATTGTAAGCCATCATAAAATTTTGTTTCCATCTCAGGCATTGAGCATGAACAGGTCACTTTTCTATGGTGAAGTTATAGCGTTGAAAGCCCAAGTACCAGCTGATACCCTCCCACCCATTCTGAGTCTGGCGGGTGAGGATTTTCACGATTTTCTGGGAATTCCAATTTGTGCTGCGTGTTAGACACAACACGAAAGCTCTGTTGCTGGGCCAGGTAGGCATAAGAGTTTTGCAAAAAAATGATTCTGTCCAGCAGGCATCATTGTCACCCGATTTGCTTGCCTCTATTTGCACCCTTTCAGCACTAAGCCGCCCAGCGAACATGCAGGCTCGTCTATCCGCGATGCATACGGTGTCCCTCATGGAGGCGGGCCAGATGCACTCGCTTCCTCTGGTGGTGGGCAACAGCAATTTTTCTCCACAGAACTCGTCCATCGCCGGCGAATTCTGCAGCCACGACGAAGGCCTACAGGCGACTAACAATCAAAATATCGGCTGCAGCGGCGTAGGGAGGGTAGGAGATGAGGCAGAGCGAAAGGGAAGAAACGGAGCGGGAAGAGGAGGGTGCGTCGAGATGTCGCAGACAGGCCGACACCAGCCAGAGGGCACAGAAGAGAGACTTCAACGGTCCGGATTGGTGAGCTTCTCGATGGGCGCTTCGCTGTTGCTGCCGGGTCCACTGGTACCGCCGCTACACTCGCTGGAAAGAATGACAAACGCCACGGTGCTCGCCTACTCCACCCGGTCTCCTGTCGAGCTTTACTCTTCCCCGTTGCAGGCTCCATTGTTGCCATCCGATGCCACATCTGCCTCGCAGAACGTCTACCAACTTCTCTCTCAGACACCCCAATTCGGTCACAACCAATCGGGCGATCAGCAACTGCAGGCGCCGGAGCTCAATCGTCAGCTCAGTCTACACATTGAGCCCAGCTTCTGGGGTCCAACCGGGGCGACATTGCGCCTCGGTTCTGATGCTGCAGTCAGGCGTCAAAGGTTCCCTGTCACGAGCGCAACGTCTTTCAATATCTGTTGCCATGCCGACGGAGATTCATCCGCCAAGATTGAGGCGAAACTAGGCCCGAATGAGCCGTCTCCAGAGGAGACGATGGACTCAGACAGATGCTCAACTTCGAAGGTAGGTTACGCCCAAATGCCGTCGGATGAGCATCGAGTAAACCCGGTCAGGAGACCCGCGGGCTTTTTGCAACGAAGGCCTCGTCGGTACCACGACTTTTCAGCAGACACAGATGACGAGGCGGAAGAAGAGGAAGAAGAAGAGGAAGAGGACGAGGAAGAGGACGAGGAGGATGAGGATGAAGGGGATGAGGAGGCAGAAGAGACGAGACATAGTGTTGGCGCATCCTCTCTTGGGTTGCCAGGTAAATCTGCCTCATCCGTAGACCTTGGGACGGACTCTAAGCTGAGACCTCATGAGAGCAACGAGTTGTCACAGTGCTCGAATAGTCTTCTGCCTCGTCCTGCAGATTCTGGTTCTCCTCGACTCCGGCAAGCGCCAATCGCGACTGCAGCTTCCGCTTTGGCCTCCAGACGTTCGGGCGTCATGGAAGAGATATCGTCTTTACGGATTCGGCAGGACTTTTCCGGCTTTAAGGAGTTGGAAGTAGACGCCTTGTCTGCTGTCGCAGAACCGTCTGCCGGTTTGTGTGGCGTAGAACCTTCAGCCGATTTAACCTACAAATCGTTTGTCTCATCGATCCACTTCTCCAGAGAGGGGAGACCCAAGCATGATGCAAAAATCGGCTCCATCTTGTCTCCTCCAAGGCATCGACACACAACAGCCAATGTACCGTTTCCTTTGGCGCCCAGTTCGGTGTCTTCTTCATTTGCCTCGATTTCACGCTCCTCTCTGTCTCCGACGGCCAACATCAGCTTCACTTCATCGTCCTTACCCGTCGCGGCCGCCTCCGCCTCCATTTGTGCAGTCTCTTCATCTATATTAGCCCCCTCCTGCTCCTCCACCACCACCCTCTCCTCTTCTTCTTCTTCTTCCTCTTCCTCCTCCTCTTCTTCCTCTTGTTCCACCTCCTCGTTTAATTCGAACCTTTCTTCTTCGGTCTCGTTCACCCTTCCCGGCAACACTTCATCCTCAAACGGAACCCCCGCTTATTCGCCGGACAGCAAGTCGCACCAATATCTCTTCCTTTCCCATTTTCCCGTCGTAACTAGCCGCCAAGAGGGTGACCTATTGCCCGAAGTCAAGATGGGAGAGCCTGTGACATCCACCAGACAGCACCAAATAGTCGCTGGCTTGGCACCGGTTTCACTAGCCTCCCCCGACAACAGTCCTCCTCAGGCTGCCCGCTTCTTGATTGCATCCGCCGCCTGTGTTTCCGGCTGTCTGAACCAGCAGAACTGCCTCGTTGGTACCGAGGACTATCGAGAGACAGTTGCCCCCTTTAAGTACCATCCATCGCTGGTGAGAACGACGACCGGTCCGGTCTACGCCCAATTGAGAGGATTGAGCGGCTGCTTCGGCCGATTGAATAGCAACAGTCGGCTCCGAGGCAGGCGGGTGATGGAGCGTCGAGTGAAGCAAATGGAGGAGAGAAGCCGATTTCGGGCCGAAGCAGAGGAGAAGAAGGCGGAAGCAGAAGCAGGCGCAGAAGAAGAAGAAGAAGAAGAAGAAAAAGAGGAAGAGGAAGAAGAAGAGGAAGATGAAGAGGAGGGCGAAAGAGGGCGAGACGATTACACAAAGGAAATGAGGCGACGAGGCCGATGCGAAGAGCAACAGATGGTTGGGCCTGACTACCCAGCTTGCGCCGTCAGCAGCACCAGCATCTCAACCGCCTTGACGACGTGTTATCCCAGTCAAGATGCGTCACTCCAGCCGATACATACAGCTTCAGTCGCCTTTCTCACCGATTCATCTGGCGCCAACTATCAGTCCACATATTCGGCCACCAATCCGGCTCGGCCGGATCGAGCCACAAGACCGGAGGAGCAGGCCGGTCTGACAGAAGATTGTCAATCGGCACGACCTGTACTGTTTGGGGCTCGGCGAAACAGGACGGAGGCGATGGGGAAAATGATCTCTTTTGCCAATTGCTGTCCCCTCCTGCAGGAGCGTGATATCCCAAATTGCATCAACAAGGCTTCCCATTCCGCTTCCTTCTTCTCTTCTTCTTCCTCCTCCTCCTCCTCATCGTCGTCGTCGTCATCGTCGTCCACCTCCACGGTTGACAGCTCCCTCATTCCCACGGCAACGTCACCCAGTGAAGCAGTGCCAAGTGACGCAGGTCTGTTGAGCCAGAACGGTTTTGATTTCGACTCTGGCAATTTGGAATGTCGCCTCAAAGTGGGCCAATTCAGTCCAAATACGGAGGCTGCGGAGCCACTCGCCTCTTCCACGCCTGCCTGTCAGGGCAAAGAGATCCTTCGAGAGGGCGTCGAGACGACAGAGCATCCACTCGGTCGTTGTCCGATTCCTTTGTCCGTCGGCCCAAGAGAAGTCGCGCCGAAACTGGCAGACACTCATCTGCCTACACGAAGCTCGGCAGATGAGCTGACATTAGACTCTAGAAAGGCTGTCGCTAGGCTAGAGTCAAGCGATCTGGTCGACTCGAAGATGATCACCCTTTCTTCTCTTTCCGAAGAGCCGATGTACCCGGCTGAGACTGGTCTCCTCTTCACGGTCAACTCGCCCAGCGCATCTGCGGGTCTCGCACTAACGCCTCCGCAAATGGGCATCATGGATCGAGGCGGCGAG